GTGTGCCACATTGAAATACAATGCTAGGAAAGCGGTTTACTGTTTGTTTTGCGAACGTTAAACATGTATAGTTACCGATAGCTGACTAAATATGTAAGATAAATACGGAGAAACATTGAAGAAAAACTTACTTCCTAGTTTTGGATGACTGTCTAATTTAGACAGATTTACGATTTCAATAAAAATCTTCTATATATATACTCCTAACTGGATACGGAAATAGAGAATGGTTGAAGTAACCCAAGCAGTGAATGAGCAAATATACTGATAAAAAACTTTTTTCTAGAGGTAAATAAGGCTGCTGCATCATATATTTTAGAAAGCCACATCTGTACTTGTCTACTAACTGAACAGAATATCCATGTTTGCCACTAACAAATAAAAAGATATTTCTCAACATATTTACTTTACTTTTGATTAATCTCTAATACGAAAGTAAGTTCTCGTGTTTTGATCAGTCTAAAACATCATTAGGTAAAAAAGCTGGTTGGAAGTTCTTAAACTATTGAATACAAACTGTAAGTTTTCGGCTATTTTTAAAATGTCTGATAGATATTTAGTGGTAAAACACGCTTTTGTTTCCAATTATTCGTATGGCTTTCTTAATAAACTAATATTGTGAAACAATTAAATTAACAGTTTTTCGGCCATTTACTTGTATCTTATGGTTGCATTAAGTCGACATGTTTAAAGTTAATTCAAAAATCAAATTTTAAAATACAGAATACTGATATCAACTCACATTCGCCTGAAGTTGTTTAATATCATTTAGTGTACTGATAGCTGCTTTTGCATTAAAATTATATCGGTCAACGAATAAGCAAGAGTCCTAATTGCAAAAACGAAACAAGAATGAGTAAATTATTAAGTGTTTGCATGTTAGAAGCCTCGTTTCATTTTACAAAAGATAATAGTTATTCAACAGAATATATTCTAATATTTCTACAGTGTCACAAGATAATGAAGGTGCACACTGATTGATACTTATATTTTAAATGTAACATAAAAGCGACATTTTGACAGTATCCTTCTTTTTTATACCATGTTCTAGTTATTACTTAAGCATCTGAGCTAGTTTCTTTGCCCTAAGAACAAAATTCAGTTCCTAAATTTACTGATAAATTTTCGGAACTCTGAAGAACCTTTTAGTATTTTGACAATATTAAGAGAACCTGTAATCGTGAAGACTTTTATTGTACTACTTCAGATATGGGACTGGATAGCCTTAAAGGATACTAAAAATTAATCCAATGTTGTATTTATTATTTAATGTCCTTAAACCATCTTGCACAAGGTTTATAAAGACAAATGTGCACACATGAATAAAATTTCATAGACGTCTAATGAATAAGTCATATTCTGTGATAAATTGCATATTTTTTGTAACCTTTTCACTTCATAAATAGGTCACTATTGGCCTCACTCACCTTCGCAAATTATTAGAAATAAATTATCGTTCCGAATTGTTGTAGGTAATATCTACCAGTTTAGAGAAGTTACAATTATTTAAGTATCAGTGTGGTCCAGTTTTTGTGTACTCTTTGTTCGGTTCTAAAATTTGTTACACTTTTGAGTATGAAAAATTGGCATAACTTTATGTCTTGCAAGACACTGTTTATTTATTGCTAGACAAAAAAATATACGATGTTAACCTGAGTGTAGTTTAAACACAGTAAATGAATTTGATGCCCTCTGAATAAAAAATTGCTACGGTTATTGAATGAGCATATCCAGTTCATTATCAAAATGAGGGCATTAAAACATTTACAGACCATTTCGTTGCAAGCCTGTAACATTCAGAAGTCCAATGCGTTTTATCATCAGATACTTACGTCTCCAGTATTCACAGACAAAGTATGACACGGTTTTCGCTTGCTGATACCCAATGAGGATGTGAACTCAGAAACCACGTGTTTTAATCATACACTTCCATATTTATTTATCTACTACTACTTTGAATACACTTTAACAATGGACAACAACGTAAATGGGGATGAAGTAAATTATGTCCTAGGAAGAGAACCTCTCTTTATTCAGAATAACTGTATTCATATAAATTCTACAATTGACAAATCCTGCTTAGAATGAAAACCACGTGTTTTGCTCGACGAATTATCACTCAATAGACTTCTCAAGCCATCAAAACTGCTGGAAATCAATAGCATAAAGTAAATAATACATAACTTGAAAACTAAGCAAATAATCAGTTGATTTGAAAATCGTAAGGAAAATGATTCGTTTCAGAATCTTAGTTTGCCAATATCATGGAAGCCGGTAAAGTATCGAATAGTTTCAAGCATAATGAATCGGAAACTGTCATGTAACAGCAGCATATAGTATTTGGTTTTTGAAGCTGAAGCCTTAAAGTGAAATTTCGATGCATACATTATATAATTTTAAGTGTACCTACTTCAGTACTTGTGATGATAAAGGATTTTTAACATCAAACTTCCATTGTTAGTGTTTAAATGCGTAAGGTACATTTAGCTTTTGCATACAGTTAGCAAGTATTTTTTTATTTACAGAAAGTAAGAAAATTAGGACGCTTTCCACTCCTTAACAATTTGTGTTTTTGCACCTAATTTCGGTTACATATTGTTTTATTTAATTTAAAGAACCCGCTCTGAAACATCAAGAGAGAAAGAGAAAAAGATAAGCTGACGTTTAAGATATGCTTCGAGCAAATAATTTCACTGAATAGACGTTGAGACGACAAAAATGTGTAGAGCTGAGCATTTTTGTTATGATGAACTTTACTTGACAGGAGTTAATCTGTAGAAGTGTTCGGTGCCAATATACAGCACCTAAACGAATTAAAAAGTAATCAAAGAATCAAAATGACGAACAACGTTGAAATCAACATGCTGAAAGTTTTATCTGTGATAAAGGTGAACTTAAGGTAAAATGGGCAACGATCATTGCACTGTACCTTTCTAATTATTATCTAAGAAACTTCAATTACAAGTGAAATATTACTAATAGTTTAGGAACAGTTCATACATTTTATTTGTTTTATTTTTAATTAACTTTTAGCGATCTTTGAACTTCTGACTTAAAGTATTAAAAAACAATAATAATAGATGTTTAAGCTCTGTTTGTATATCTTGTTATAATACAATTCACTTTTATATCCATTACAATTTCTATCTTCAGTACGAGGTTGTTAATTACGCATGTAACTAAGTGCGTCTAAATTATAAGTCATCTGTTTAGACGTTAATTTCAAAACTTTTCTCGGGAAAGAGCAACTATAACCTCCTTACTCTGTCCTATCTCAAACTAAGGGCAGATCTAATTTTGATGTACAGAATACTGAGAAATGATTTTGAACTTAACGAATTCTCTCTTATTCTCCTCGCTAGATCGAGACATATCAAAGGACATAGCGGACAAGTAAAAAAGCCAAGAACGAAAAAAATATCCGTGGCATATAGGTTTTCACACCGAGCCATCCATACTTGAAACCTGCTGCCCGAAGCAGTAGTATCCGAACCTTAAATTGACTCTTTCAAGAGAAGACTGGACACTCACAGAAGCATACTGGAAAAAGACTAACATAGACCATAGGCCTTCTGTCAATACTACACAAATCTGAATCAATAAAATTTTCTCAATTTGATAAAATAAACAGATTTAACTGTAAATTTACCTGGGAAAGGTAAAATCCGAAAATCGGTGTATATTTGAGATTTTTATGCATCACAAATCTTGTTCTTCCTAACCCGCCTTGGTGCAAAACAAGCATGGAACAAATGAACCAATCGGCTGTGCTAGTGATTACAAGAACCTAAAATTTTAATTACCTTTGGACAAATGGTTTGAGATGAATAAAACTCTCTCGTTTTTCCTTTTAATAAAATCAACGTCGCCGTAAACGTGTATCTTTAATTTATAGCTTTAAAAGTTGTGTACCTTTCTAACATTCATGTATCCAAATATAAAAAGAAAGGTTCGCATAAAGAATGCGAATAAAAGTTCATTTAAATATCGATATGCTTGCTGGGAATGTAGAGTCAGCAACCTTATAGAAAGCCATAAAATCAAAATTGTTGGAGTTAAGAAAGGAATTGTAAATCCAAAGTATTGTTTCAGGTAATTACTCATTTGAACACAAGTGCAGCCGTATCACAGAAATTCATATAAATTTCATCTTTGCAGAATTTTCAAGGTCGTTTCCATGACTTTTCAAACCTCAGTATCAGTTTGCACAGGACGGGGGGCTAGATGGTCGGTGTTAGTCCTGGCAGTGATAGTCCCTAAGCTGATCCAACTTTCTTTTCAAATAGTCGACAGACGGAGCTTCAACCACGTGTTGAGGTAATGAGTCCCACTCGATGATTCGATGGCAAAGTCGATAGTCAGATGACAAATAAATTGTTCTGGGCTTGTGAACTTTGTCGGAGTGTCGTCTTAAATTTTATGTTTTGGAAGACAAGAAAAACGAGGATATATCAGATGCAAATTCATCACTAAGTAATTTGAAATCGATTGATGATGTCACAGGTATTCAGTGTTTGACAACGCTTCTACCAGTAACACCTTCTAATGTATTTCGTTCCCACCAAGAGAAATCAAAAGACAGAGTCGAGGAGATCGGAAGAGTATATTTGGCGATGACCAATATATCGGAATTCTCTGATTTAATCTGGCTAGCGATTGCGGTTGATGTTGAACACGGCGTTACCACACGTGATCTGGTGCGGATGCCTGACCGAGCGCCTTCAGCTAGATGAGTCCACTAAAGCATATGGTCAGCATCCAATGTCGAAAACTTAGTGGTATTTATTTTGGGGATTTATTTACCGCTACAGTACGAATCTCCAAAGATCTTCCAAAGTGACTAAAACTAGTAAAGTTGAGGGTCTGAACTACCTTTCATTAGATATAACCAAGGACCTGTCCTCGTCTTAAGTCATGAAGAAGAGCGAGAGCAAGGAAGTCAGTAGATTTATACAAACCTATGACAAAAATATTGAATGTATTTGTGGTAACGTAGCGCTAAATACGGTTTTTGCGTTACCTGTAGAAGAATATAGGTAGGCCATTGCCAGACAGCTGGTCGCCGTTTGGAAAACGGCTAGTTCTTCTACGTTCAGAGTTCACAGAGATTTACGAATCGAATTTACGTTCACTGAATTCGAAGTTTTATTTCCACTAGTTGTTGTGGGACATAAATTCCGCCTAACTTTTAGGGATCACAGAAACAACAGGTAGTCTTATCTTAAATGAGCTTTTGGGTAATGAGATATAATAGTTCTTGAATACGTTACTTAAATGATTAGTTTTAGGCTCGGTCTGTAGGATCCTCCGTAACTGTATCGCATAAATCAGTGTTTATCAATATGTAAATTACACAATATTACTCCTTATCTTTTCTCTTTAGTCGTCGAATAATCACTGTTCTTACCGCATTTTTTCACGTTTTAGCAAATTCACAACAAATGAATTCAGCTTGTCACAGATTCTTTTATTTACGAAGCTTAGTTGTCGCCTGTATGGTTCTTATTGTAGCGTATAACCGAGTGTATAACTGCCTTAGTTTTCTTCAAGGAAAAATTAAACGAATACGTCAAATCGTTCTCGGTTACCTTATGTCCAAACGTTTGCAATCTGCATGTTAGCATTAGTGCAGCTGCCTTTTGTTCCTCACCGTTCTAGTATATCCGGACCAGAATGTTTTTACAATAAACAATGTAAAATATTCCTTTGCAACCTTTAAAAAAAACGACGGTCTAAGTATAAAAATGGTTGTTGGAGCCGACTGCAACAAAAAATAGTTCATTAACTCAATGAAAGTTTGTGTGGTCGAACAACTTTTGACAAGTGTATGATCCTTCGCTCTCAGGGTTTCCGGTTTGTCATTTATGATGACTACATTTTTCAAAACCGGCCTTTTATATAAATTTTCATTGTAAATACTAGTCTATAAGTACATGAAAGTCTTGGAATTTATTAAACTCGCCTTTTGAAAACAACACTTTCAAAGATTTGATACAATATTTTCTAAATCTTTATGCTGAATCCTTTCCCAGTGTAGACATGAGCGTTCAATCTTTTCAATTATCTGAACTAGAGGAAAAAGCTCGTGCAAGTGCACTCAAAAGAGTTTCTGATCATTTTCAAGTTAGTTTGTATACCTCTGATTAATTAATCTCTTTTCAGAAGCCAGAACAACTGGATAAGATAGATATTATTAAATCTAGATTTCTAAATCAGAAGGTTAGTCCTACTGTTCCTAATACATTCAAATATTCATACTGTACAGACTGCCACCGAAGCTCAGTTAAAAATGGCTCTATATAGCCAGTTAGACGGCAGTAAAGTCGGTTTGGAAAAACTGGATACTGCCCTCGCTGAATCACAAACATGTAGGAACAGGTAGATTTTACTTTTCTTATTATGATCTAGACTCATCCAACTGGGATCTTCATTGTCTGGTTTGTCCGGCTTGTCGCAGCAGTTGCATGAGTTAAAAAATCTCTCGACTAAATACAGTCAAGTGAGTGTTCTTTTGCTACTACCAAAAAATGATGTAGCTTGGTGCTGCTATGGAAAATATGAGTTATCTTGTGAAGGCCCCTGAAACATTTGAACAGGCTCGAACATATCTGGAGTCAGAAAATCTCTTAGAAGGTCATAAACTGTGAGTCTCTTCCCTCCTAATTCTTTTCCATTCAGAATGCAGGATTTGGAAGGAATTCGAGATGAACTGATGTTTGAAGTGTATCGACAAAAGTCTATGGAAGATTTAGATGTATGTGCCTCAGTTTTCAATTACCTTAACTCTCCTTTCTTTATCCATTCTGTAGACATTGCGTGCCTTTTTCCGTGAGCTGGAAAATTTAAATGACACGTTTAGACATAAAATAATTGTCCTTGGATCACGTTTGACCAGTGCAGTAATTACTCACAATCGCTTTGTTGTTAATTGTGTACGTGTTATTGACCGTGAAGAAAGGTAATTTTTCGCGTTTGTCTTGGTTCCTTAATAGTATGTTTAATTTTACTTTGACCGCCAGTATTTCTTGGTATATGGTCATATCGTATAGAGCGACGTGATCTTTGAAAATCCAGTTTGCTAATTAAATCAGTTGCACATCCATATTCATACTGATATTAGGAAAAAGCGAATAGTTTGACGTGACCCTTTTATCGCATACACACGAACAAATACAGATGAAGACAACTAGTGTAGCAGCAGTCTCTGCATCAGCGGGCCTCAACATACACAAATGAAAGAGCAAGATCCTCAAATACAACACGGAGAACACAAACACAATCACATTTGTTGAAGACGCTCTGGAAGATGTGGAATCTTTCACGTACCTGGGAAGCATCATTAATGAGGAAGGAGTATCGGATGCAGACGTAAAGGCGAGGATTGGTCAAGCAAGGGCCACATTCCTACAATTGAAGAACATATGGAAATCGGAACACCTGTCAGTCAAAATTAAATTGAGAATCTTCTTTATGAACGTCCAGACAGTCATACTGTACGGAGCTGAAACGTCGTGAACTACAACAACCATCATCAAGAAGGTACAAGTATTTATAAACAGTTGTCTACGTAAGATACTCAATATCCGTTGGCCGGATACCATCAGTAACAGCCTACCGTAGGAGAAGATAAACTAGTTTCAGCTGAGGCAGAAGTCAGGAAAAGACGTTGGAAGTGGATAGAACATACATTACGGAAATCATCGAACTGCATCACGAGACGAGCCCTGACTTGGAATCCTGAAGGAAAACGGAAAAGTGGAAGGCCGAGGAATACACTGCTTCTGGAATTGGAAATAGACATGAGAAGGATGAATAGCAACTGGAAAGAACTGGAGAGGATTGCCCAGGAGAGGGTTGGCTGGAGAATGCTGTTGGGTGGCCTATGCTCCTCGACGAGAGGTAACAGGCGTAAGTAAGTAAGCAAATATTTTAGTCGAGGTTGAACATTTGCCCACGTTTGTAACTGTTTAAATACAGGCTCAATACGACGCAAATCTACTTAATTCAAATGTATATACGTATAATCTGTACGCTGACAATACTATCTGGGGTCCAAACCAAAGTAAGCGGAGTGGAATCCCCACCTGTTGCCTGCTACTTGGAGGGATGTTTCAAAGTACTAAGCGGTTTAATGCAAAATCAGATAGAATATCAGATGTGCTTGTAAGTGACATGCGATGACATTTTTGTTAGTCTTTCTACTTCGTGCTTCTAATAAATATCGCATATATTAAGTTGATCTTGACCGTTTCGTAAATATATGTCGTCTTTTTTAAATCTAATGTAATAGATCTGGCATTGCATACGTTTTTTCGATCTATAAGTTTGAACAGCGATCCTAGCTCACCAAAGTATCCAACTGTATCTAGCAGTTAACACGTATTTATTAAAGCACATACACTGAAAGAACGGAAAGGAGGTTTAGTGTTGACATCTCTGATACGTTCCACAAAAGCTGAGAGACTAAAAGAAAAACATATTATCAACAGTGTAATTCCTCATTATTCGCCTAACAGCAAATATGTTGTTGACGTTTCAAAACAATCAATAAACAAATGATTCAAAATTTATTACGCTTTACTGATGTGTTGCTAAGAAAAACAAATTTACATATTCAAAGAGATATTTCACTCTTGCTTTGCCTTGGTAACCATAGTATCTAGAGTTTTCTACATATCACTTTTCCCACAACCTTAATCATAATTCCTTTCGTTTTTACTTTCTACCTGAGCGTTGCTGAGCTAGTTATTTTTATTCTTATGTACTACATAAACTATGACGTAATCTTCAATTTCTGAAAATTCTGTTTTCATCCTCGATAGTGTTCTCTTCTAGAATATTCATATATTTAAAGTATACATGAATAACCCCTTAAACAGTTTATTTTTAATTCTTTCCCAATTTTTGTGTTTAATTTTAACTTACATCTACACATTTTACTCAACTTTCATCAAAACTTTTTTGATATAAAGTATTGATGTTCATCTTCGTGTACACAATTAGAACTGATGCTAATTGGCGGAAACGATCAGAGAAACATGGTTTTATGCCAGATGGACGACCGAAACAATGGAAGAAGCTGTTATTTGACAGTATATTTAATACTATAAAAAATAAGTGAGTTAAATTAATTCCATGGGGTTTCGATAAAGTCATCAATTTTTGCTACTATCAGTTTGAATGACTCAATCGATCAATCTGTTGGAATATAGACCACTTTAATAATTACTCCCGTATTGCACCCGGTGTGTTCAACGATTGATTTGTGTTAAGAATAGTTGCTAACATTTAAATCCAAAATGGACATTTCGTCTTGTTAGAATTTTATCGGCCGAAAGCATCTGGATCTTGACGTTTTTAAATAAACCCAGTACCAATTCACCTTAAATACTCAAATGTTTTATATCAAGGTATTGAGTTATAATAGCCTGTATTACATATTTGACAGTTATTACTTATTTCTTTAAAATTATATACTTATCTGTTATTGTGGGGTTTTGAGCTGAATTTTACAAACCTCTATCGTTATATGGCCTCATTGAATGTGTGTCTTAGCATTACTGCTTAGATTCACATTTTGGTGATAACTTGCACACTCTGATCCAGGTGCATCAGGCTAAGATCTCAAAAAAATACAAAGTGAATGTTCTGGATCCCTTCGCTAGCCACAACCCAAAGTTGCTAAAACTTGTGGCTAAATGGCAATGTCGAGATAATTTACTGAAGATACACAACAATTAAAGTTGATTAACCATGGTCATAAATGTCAACAATGGGAAAATTCAAATGTCCCTAACCACTGGTTACGATAACTACACGGACTCCAACCGCGTGGTTCACATATGTTAACATGGATTGACCCAATTGTCATTGAATTAATGGGACACTCACATGCTTTGATTTAGTTACCCCTAGCTCTCTTCGAGCCTATTGCTGCATCAGATATCTTCCATCGAAATAGGAGGTGGTTGTGGATGACGTTACACATGTTCCAACCACCTCAGTTGATGGGGATTTAATACCTCACCATCTTTACCTTGTACCCTGTCCCCAACTGGTTACCCGGTCACACTCGTGATTAAGGACTTATGGAACGATCAGTCGGCCATGTTGTTTTCGAATAAGTCAACTATTTATGATTGTCAATACTATTTTCTGCCAGTTTTTCGTCATTTTTCAGCAGAATACATTGAAGTTTTTTTTATTTATTTTAACATAAATAGGGTGTTTGGAAGCGCGCTAGACAATGAAAATGATAAAAATAAATTAGTTCGACACAATGAAGCCATTAGACAGCATACGCTAGCAGATTTGAAAATAGCAAAAGTGAGTAAATGCATTTTTGTTGTACAATGGATTATTTTCTGGAATTACAAAATAGTTTGTCATGTTCTGTACAAAATTCGATAATTTGTGATTGCTTTTTATAGAAAATGAGTATGGAATTAACACAACAATATTTTCGACAAAGTTTAGTAAAGCAACTATAGTAAAGTTAGCTAAGGTCTGGGACAAACGTATCGTTTCAAGTTGCCAATATTGCATGAGGCAAAATTAATACATTATAAAGCAAAATACAGAAAATAATACTAAACTACAATAGAAGTCTGAACAATCCAAAATAACTAATAAAATTAAAGAATACAAAGTTTGAATTGATGTCTGACTTGAAATTTATAAGAAATTAGATAATAATTCCAGCAACACTAATGTGACTAATCTCTCATCGTTTCATCTGTCATTACATTCAGTGTTGCATTTATAGTGGCAGTCGGGAGATAACCCCTCTGGACCTAGGTTCCTTATTAGTTCAAATTAGTCAGAAAAGGTATCTTCAATCTGCCCCCAAATGCCCTGGTACGGCCGAGAGTGGGGAGAGTCCGCTCTCCCTCTCGAAATGCTCTCACATGGCCACGCGTATATAGCCTCTGCCAGGGAAGTCCTACTCACTGCCTTCTCGTGGCCGGGGTGTTGTTTACGAAAATGAGAGGAGAAAAGCGAATGTCCGGCGCTTTAACCGGATTCCAAACCAATAGTGCACATGGGCTCCAGTATCCTGCGGGAACAAATGGCGTATGAACCAATCGTTGGTCACCGGCTAACATGGGACTGCATCTCCTCACGATGCTCCACTGCCTTGTGGATCAGACCTTCAGGTCGAAGGATCGGGGAGTGGCCCTCTAAGAAAACCACCTGCTTCGGTTTGGGCACCCGGGCAGTATCACAGCCCTCGCACATATCGAATAAGATTTGTGTGGCGCATATGTATTTGGTGCCTTCTTGTACCAATATTTATGTGTTAAAATAAATAAATAAATAATCTTCAATCTCACGGAAACTGATACAGTCTGTGAGATTTTGGTAGGACTAACAGATTTACATAGGTTCGTCACGGAGTATTTACTGACATCATGTTACTTAGTCTTTAGTACTGGTTGAATCCTACCAATCAAGTCCCGATGCTGCCAATTTTCGAAGCGATATTATTTTCACATCGAAGCTCGTTGTGTTTTTCTGATTCAATGTTTACTATTTACTGATTTCCGTGGTATTACTCCATAGAGTCATGATCTGTTGGACTGAGTGGTTTTGGGTAGGTGAGAACTACTTGTTTGGGGTCCTCTCGGTAACTGCGATCAGTGGTTGGAGGTGTTGGGGTGATATGACTCAGAGTCGATTAAAATGTTTTAGATTCATCCAGTCTTTATCTTCCTTTAGACTTCGTTGTTAAACCACACTGTCCATGTTTTATGTTTTCTATTTTTTTGATACTATTTCTACTACTACTGCTCTATCATTTGTCTTGATAATCTCGTCCCACGGCACCATTGTTGTATTATAGCAACTTGATTCGGTGCCAGTATGTTTCAGACTTTATGTTACTTATAGCTGCCTGACTCAATTACTTACTTACTTACGCCTGTTACTCCTAACGGAGCATAGGCCGCCGACCAGCATTCTCCAACCCTGACTCAATTACTATCGCTAAAATAAGTATATATATAGTATTTAACATTAAAATATATCACCAAATGTAAATCTCTTCTGATCTATGTAATTACTGTTATGATAAATTATGGTAAAATAGATATTGATTGCATAGCACCTTCACTAAAAATATTCCCAGATAAATCTTACTTACTTACTTACTTCCGCCTGTTACTCCCAATGGAGTATAGGCCGCTGATCAGCATTCTCCAACCCACTCTGTCCTGGGCCTTCTTTTCTAGTTCCATCCAATTCTTGTTCATTTTTCTCATGTCTATCTCCATTTCTCGGCGTAATGTGTTCTTTGGTCTTCCTCTTTTCCTTTCGCCTTGAGGAATCCATGTGAGGGCTTGTCTTGTGACGCAGTTGGGTGCTTTCCTCAATGTGTGTCCTATCCACTTCCAGCAATTCTTCCTGATTTCTTCCTCCGCTGGGATCTGGTTTGTTCTCTCCCACAGTACGTTGTTGCTAATAGTGTCCGGCCAACGGATCCGAAGTATTTTGCGTAGACAATTGTTAATAAACACCTGTATTTTCTGGATGATGGCTTTCGTAGTTCTCCAGGTTTCTGCCCCATACAGTAGAACTGTGTTGACATTTGTATTGAAAATCCTGACCTTGGTGTTTGTTGACAGTTGCTTTGAGTTCCAGATGTTCCTCAGTTGCTTTGCCGATCCGCGCCTTCACATCTGCATCAGATCCACCCTGTTCGTCAATGATGCTGCCCAAATAAGTAAAGGTTTTTACATTTTCCAAATCTTCTCCGTCAATTGTGATTCGATTGGTGCATTCTGTGTTGTATCGGAGAATCCTGCTTTTCCCTTTGTGTATATTGAGACCTACTGCTGCTGAGGCTGCTGCCACACTGTTCGTTTTCTCCTGCATCTGTTGTTGCGTTTGGGATAGAAGGGCCAGATCATCTGCGAAGTCTAGATCATCCAACTGCATCATAGATGTCCATTGTATCCCGTGCTTCCCTTCAGACGTTGACGTCTTCATGATCCAGTCGATCACCAGGAGAAAGAGAAAGGGTGAGAGTAAGTGTTGGGTCGGCTTCCGGAGAACTTCAACGGAGCCTCCAGAGGCCCAAAAGGAGCCGAAGAGTCCTAGCCAGTCAGAGTGTGATGGAACGTTCCAGAATTCCAACGTGGCGTGCTACTATTGGTCGGTAGTATAATGTGTTGTTATCGGATTGGCTGTAAATTGATGTTGATTTAACAGACGCCAAAATCTATAAATACCCATGATTTTCTGTACAAAAATGAACCTTGGAATAAAGTGCTTTCTCTCATTCTTGTGTCTTCTCTCTGGAGTTCAAGTCGCTGTGTAGTTCTAGACTGCGGGTTTCGGAATAGCTTAGGAATCGTATATAGCGTTCAACCTACACGACTTATCAGTGGCGACGGGGATGGAAACTTCAATGAATATTTCCTTGGAGCAATTAGAAGCTTATATGGTGCGTCAAGAAAAAAGGTTTGAAGAGTCCCATATTAGAATCATGGAAACCCTGATGCAGAAATTCTGCCTGTCCGAGAAAAACCCTGCTTCTAGTGAATCTCAAGTATCACATACTGATTCAGTCATTAACGCCATCCATGAATTTAATTTTGATGGTGTAGCAGGTGTAACTTTCGAGTCGTGGTTTAAGAAGTATGAAGATTTGTTTTATATTGATCTTTGCAAACTGGATGATGCTTCAAAAGTCAGAATACTTCTTAGAAAACTTGGGACTATGGAACATGAACGCTATAGCAACTTCATTCTTCCGAAGAACCCACGAGATTTTAGTTTTGATGATACAGTCAAAACCCTATCCCAAATCTTTGGAGAACAATCATCTCTATTCAATATCCGTTACCAGTGCTTAAAGTTAACGAAAGAACCAGGAGATGACTGGGTGAAGCATGCAGGAACTGTGAACCGAGAATGTGAGAGATTTAGATTGTCGTCCATGTCTGAAGATCAGTTTAAATGCTTAGTATTTATCTGCAGCCTGCGTTCACCCGAAGATGCCGATATCCGAATCAGAATCCTAAGCAAACTCGAACACTGCCCTAATATGACCCTGCAAGAAGTGACTACTGAGTGCCAAAGGTTAGTAAACTTAAAGCATGATACCTCAATGGTAGAAAACGGTAACTGTTTCCATAACGTCAATGCAGTCAAGAGAAAAGTCTTTCAAGGTTCCAGTACCCAGAATTTCCAAAATAACAGCGACAAACCATCATCTCCATGCTGGGCATGTGGAGGTTGGCACTATAAGAGGTTTTGCCCATATAAAGAACATCGTTGCAGCAAATGTAATCGGAAGGGGCATAAAGAAAACTTCTGCAGGAGAAGAGACTATAGAAAACGTTCCGTGAAATCTTACTCACAGAAATACAGATATAGTGCTCCAACCAACAAGATATTGGTATCACATAACAGAGCACGAAGTTGCCACCAAAGAAAGTATGTGACCTTGAATATTAATAAACACCGTGCCCGCCTTCAGCTGGACACAGCTTCTGATATTACTTTAATCAGCCCAGAAACGTGGAAGAACATTGGGAGACCCACAGTTTTCCCAACAACGCAGCTGGCGCACAGTGCATCTGGGGGGAAGTTGAATATTGTTGGAGAAGTGCCATGCACTGTTTCTAAAGGCACGGTAACAACAAATACAACATTGTATCTTACTAAGAAGCCAGCACTAGACTTAATGGGGTTGGACCTTATAGGATTACTTAAACTAGCAGATCATTCTATCAACAGTATCTGCAGACGAGTAAGTACAGACAACATCCCAGAATGGAATCAGAAAAACGCCATGCTACAAAGACATCAAAACGTGTTTAGAGAAGGATTGGGAGAATGCACGAAAGCCAAAGCACTGTTAACTCTAAAACCTGAAGTTGCTCCCGTTTTTCGACCTAAAAGACCCGTACCCTATGCTGCTCTACCAGTGGTTGAACAAGAACTAGAACGACTTCAGAAACTAGGTGTCATTGAACCAGTGAATTTCTCAGAATGGGCCGCACCGATAGTAGTAGTAAAGAAGACTAATGGTAGCGTCCGTTTATGTGCCGATTACTCAACCGGGTTGAATGAAGCCTTAGAAACTCATCAGTATCCATTACCCTTACCTGAAGATCTTTTTGCTAAACTGAACGGAGGTAAGCTTTTTGCAAAGTTGGATTTATCAGAAGCTTATTTACAAATCCCTGTTGCTGACGAGTCTAAAAACCTGCTTACCATAAACACACACAAGGGTCTATTCCGGTATAATCGATTACCCTTTGGAGTCAAGACGGCCCCATCCATATTTCAGCAAATAATGGATACTATGCTACAAGATG